TCATTTTCTCTCCTTTCTTAGAATATCAATTATATTTCCTTTCTAACTTTTTTCCCAGGAAACCCCAGTTAGTTTCTCTTTTTATCCATAAAGCACTAATCTGGTATTTTAATGAGGAAAAACAAAACAGAAACAATTTTTAGTTTCATGTTTCTACTCAAATATAGTCAAAACTATTTTTTTTGCCTTAAAAGAAGAAAAAACAAGAAAAAATAGTTTTTCCCTATCCATCCCATCTGACTGCAACTTTATTTGGGACCATGTAAAAAAGCCAATGTAAAGATTTAAAAGAAATAAAAAATAAAAGTGATAAGAGTGTTAGCCTTCAGCACAAAAACTCAGAAGCACCCATGCCCTGAGTTCAAACCCCAGAACCAACACACACACACACACACACACACACACACACACACACACAAATATATACAGTATACAAATTCCCAAAGCAAACAGCTGTGGGCTCAGAATATCTGGAAAAAAAAAACATTCACAAAAACTCTAAAACTGATTGTACTGTTGAGAGGGTACTTTGTTTACAAGAAGCCACGAATATATATCTAGTCACCAAGAACCATAGTTTCTAGAAAATATAGGCCGATACCCAGTTAATTTCAGCAATAGTGCTGGTTTTATTGAATCTCTCTTGTTTCTTCTCTTGGCATACAGTATGCAGACTCTCTCTCCATTTCTTTCTCTCACTCTTCTTTCTCTCCTCCTCCTCTCATTCCATCCTCTTCTCTCTCACACATATATCCTAGCCATGTTTGCTATTTGCCATATTATGAGGTCCTCCGAAAAGTCAAGCACCTGTGCTCTTGAATCTTCAAAATTGTGATTTAAACAAATATCTTTTCTTTATTAAAATAACCAGTCTCAGATATTTTGTTTAAAAACAGAAAATGGGGCTGGGAAGGTAGCTCAGTGGTAGAGCACTTGCCTTGCATGCATGAGGCCCTGGGTTCAATTCCTCAGCACCGCATAAGCAAAAAGAAAAAAGCTGGAAGTGGCGCTGTGGC